TGGTATCTGCATATCGGAGATTGTTGATATTTCTTCCGGCAGTCTTAATTCCGGCTTGGGATTCCTCCAGTCCAGCCTTTCGCATGATGTATTCTGCATATAAGTTAAATAAGATAATATACAGCCTTGTCGTACTTCTTTCCCAATTTTGAACCAATCAGTGTTTCCATATCCAGTTCTAACTGTTGCTTCCTGTCCCACGTATAGGTTTTTCAGGAGACAGATAAGGTGGTCAGGCACTCTCATTTCTTTAAGGACTTGCCATAGTTTGCTGTGGTCCACACAGTCAAAGGCTTTTGCATAGTCAATGAAGCAGAAGTAGATATTTTTCTGGAACTCTTTGGCTTTCTCTATAATCCAGCGCATGTTAGCAATTTGGTCTCTAGTTCCTCTGCCCCTTCGGAATCCAGCTTGTACTTCTGGGAGTTCTTTGTCCACATACTGCTGAAGCCTACCTGGGAGGATTTTGAGCATAACCTTGCTAGCGTGTGAAATGAGTGCAATTGTATGGTAGTTGGAGCATTCTTTGGCACTGCTCTTCTTTGGGATTGGGATGTAGATTGATTTTTTCCAGTCCTCTGGCCACTGTTGATTTTCCAAACTTGCTGGCATATTGAATGTAGCATCTTAACAGCGTCATCTTTTAAGATTTTAAGTAGTTCAACTGGAATGCCATCACCTCCACTGGCCTTGTTGTTAGTCAAGCTTTCTTTCTTTTTTATTTTTTTAAACTACTAGGAATAGGGTAGGGAATACAAAAGGTAAAAGGAAGTGTAAAGGGATGGGAAAAGGTTTTGAGGATAGGGGAACACAGAGTATACAATCATCCAATCTGTTCATATTAGGTATACAAGCCTCTGATCTGTTCATTTTTCAATACAAAAAACAACTTTGTATTCTTTTTAAAATATATCTATATACTGTTTGGTTATCCTCTAAATATCAGCTTATATTCATATTTTAATTTAAATCTAAGTTATTCCAACTCTATCAAGAAATCAAGACCAAATATAAAATACATCCCCTCTTTCAATTTCCTTCTGCCTTGGACGTACATTCAGCCTGTCTGGAAAGATATCCATTTCTGGCACTTCCCATTTTTTCTCAGTATCCTTCTCTCGTTTCTATGCCTTTATTTTCTTCCAGTTTTGGGGAGATAAAATTAAATCCAGGACAGTAGTCTGATTTTAAACATCACCTTTTCTGACTATTATAGCTGGGTAGCTCACATGGTAACTCTTAATCTCATCTATGTTACCAGGCATCACTGTCAATAAAAACTGTTCTGGAGTTAATACAATTTCGTTTAGCTGTTGTTTGACCTCTATTGGTTTCCCTTTCATCAGGTCTTCTACCTGGCTGAGGTGCTCATTTACCTGCTGAAATCCTGTTATTATAGTCATTTGCATGGTAACCAGCCATTCTTTATCTGGCAAAATTCCCAACCGTTGATCTTTAACATTTTCGGC